TTCCCTTTAGGTGGATTGTCGGATCACAAGGTGAATGATCAAACCTGCACACAGAACATAATTGGGTGATTTAAACAAAAGATTCAGATAGTGGTTCAGGGGCCATGTGTGGCCCTGACATAAACTCAGAGTGGCCCCATCTGTAGTAATAGTTTTCTGTAATTTCATTGTGCCATATGTCCTGTATGTATGGCATATTTGACAATAAAGTTGACTTTGACCTCATTGAAATATTTACATTGTTGATAAAGGAGAAATTTCTACTGAAGGTTAGACCATAATTGCAGCAATCTCTGTAACCTAGCAACATGCATCCCACAATGCTTCTTATCTACAATCCACTTTGCATAAAATGACAAAAGGCTCAATATGTTTAGTCGCAATGAGTGTGTTGTGGTGCTGAAAACAATTCTCAATTTATTCATATGATTTGGTCCATATTTCTGTTTACCTCCCATTTATCAGCTGCTAAAAATGTGTATTCCAGCTGAATTCCCTGCCTGAATTTATAATTGAATTGCTGTTTTAGAATAAAGCAAAATAAGCATCACCTTTTTAAGTGTCCATCAAGAAGTGATGCATGGTCATAGACACGGCCACAGTTAATCACTGGACAAGTATGTCTCGTTGAAGTGCTCATTGAGAAAGGAGCAGATCTGCGTCTCCTTCCAAACCCTCCACTGATGGATGCAGGTTTGAGACCTAAAAAAGAAAATAAATAAATGCCACATAAAACAGTTAAATGCTAAAAAGAAATCTAACGGTATGAACAGAAACCCAGTGGCTACCTGGCATTTTCAGCCACATGTCCACACATCGCTTTGCCTCCTGATCACCTCCATTTGCAGAACTGAAAGCCAGCTCCTGTTGTCCATGAGCCCTTTGCTGAATTTGCTTTTCCTGCAAAGATGAAGATAAACCAATGTATTTCTTCAAAGACCAAATACTGTTTTTTTAGTGTGAATTTTGTTTTTCATTTTAATCGTGTAATGACAGATATGATACCTGCGTAGTGCTATTGTGGATAAGATCGTTTCACAACTATACCGGCCACGGTGTGGCACTGTTTCTACATCTGACATTTACTTACCTACTACCCAATGATTGACAAGTAATTTTTTTTTCTTGATATGAAGTGCTGTACAAAAGTGTTAGGTAGGTATAATTAGGTATTTAAAGCCGATGTAAATAAAATCATTCAGCGATTCTGAACCTTTTGGGAAGATTTTAATAATCCATATATCCAAAGATGGCTTTTAGCCTGGTCCTTCAATGCTGTTGGTGATAGGGTGACCTGCCTGTGGCCAGGAAACATGACCTATTTTTCGTTGAAGTTTTAAGTTCTATTAAGATAAGTAAAGAGGATGGTTAAATACAGACGTGATTTAAAAAAAAAGTAAAATATTTACTACAAATAAAGTACAGTAGCATACCTTGAATGCTCTACATTTGTCCTCTCGTTTCTTTTTTTCTTGCTCCACCTCATGTGCCAGTCTGTCCAGTGTTGATGTTACACGGGCCTTCTCACGGGTGACTGTCTTATCTTCATGCTACAGTGAAGACAAAAATAAAGACAAGTGAAGATGAGGTTTTCATTAGACATTAAAGAAAGCAGTGTTTTCACTCACCATCATTGTAAACGATGAACATCCCTCATCATCACTATCACTCAGTAGATCAACATATTCAGATACTGGTCTAAGATGTGCTTCCTGGACCAAAACACAGGACACTATATCATTAACTTTTATCCCCCCTGTTTAAAGTCACTGCTATAGTCATAAAAGTTTTTGTCAAGACAAAAATTATTTTATTAAATGACTTACTGACACAAACTCCACTTCTTCCACATCATCTTCCTCTGTCTGCACTGGAGAGGACATTTATCTGTAAACAAGAAAAAACAAACTGAATAATATAGGAACACATTTTGACATAGATATAACAAATATTAATTTACCAGGCAGTACTGCTTCTGAGTGAACATCAGTATTACACATACACAAGTCAACAGCCAGAATCGCAGTTTTAATATTTCTTCACTACCGTTAAGAGGCAGTAGTAGGCGATGAACTGATTATTACAAATCGCGAGGAAGAAGTTACGCGCCACAGATTGAGGCCTTGATTTTAAATTTAATGCTCCAGCAAAGAATAAGACGTTCGGTTGTTGTAACTTTTTTACATGCAAGAAAGTGAGTTTTGCACCTTCACATAACTTTTGCCGTTTTTGACCGTAAAGCTTGTACAGCAAGAGAAAACAACCCATGCAACACAACTTATTTTAACTACTCCATATTCAGAAACGCGGTCACGTCTGGGAAATCAATGATAAGCTAGCGAGAGAATGGCGTTAGCTCTGTGACGTTTGCAGGTGAAGCACTTTTGTCCCCTTAACTACAGCGTGGTGTCAGAATCACACAAAGACACACTATGTGAAGATTTAAATTGCATGAAAGAAGCTGTCTTATTACCCGTTACCGTTTCCTTCGAGCAACAGTGGATTCCGAGACCCTAAATCAAAATAAACTCCACTAGTTTGGTCTGGCGACGTCACACCGAGAATGGTGCTTGATTTCTACACAAATTCTACCGGGAGGGCGGGGAGAACTGAATGTGGGATGAGACCGTGTTAGGAACAATTTCCGCCCGGCTGTATTGAGCAGATTGATCCTTAAGGCGAATTGTCTTCAGTGTTCACTTACTAGATAGTAGCCACCACTTCTCCCCCACAAAAAACATTTTTAATCCTACAAATTATACTTTGCGTCATAAGATTTTTTTTTTTAGATTTTTAAAATATTTTTAAATGCATTTTAGAAATTAAATAATTTGTACATGCTGCAATAGCGCTATATAAAATATAATGCTAACGCTAGTCTTTAATGTCATTGTGTCCGGATTGTTGTAGAGAAGTATGAATATTTTATATTTTATGACTATTCATGATTGTATGCTATTATGTGGACATAGGTGCCTTCAACAAAACATTCATGCCAATGTGTAATGTGCACCACCCAGTACTAAACGTCTTTATCTGGTCTTTTGGGGCTGTGTTTTGAACTTCATGTAAACTCCAGCCTGTCAGACTGGTTACAGCCACACTGTCGTGTCACTAGTCTTACAGAGCTATGACCATGTAGTGCCCACTCTGCAGCAGTTCACCTCCATGCCTGGATGAATCTGCTGACTCTTATTGCCCTCTTCAGAAAGAGAAAAAAAATAAAAAATAAATAAAACTTGGGTCTGTGCTGAGTCATGCATTATTCCTCACAACACTGATACCACAAGTGTGAGCGGTGTCAGTGTGCTCGGTGCGATCCCTGAGGCGCTTCGCACTGCGATGCTTCACATATGTGAGTCGGACTCTTTACTACTTCAATTATCGATCTGTGTACCGAGGTGCGGGCGACTCAGCTGTGGAGCAGCGGTAGCAGCAGCAGCGGCGGCAGTGAGGAGACAGCTGTCTGAGGCTGCGGGTCCTCCTGTCCTACATCTCGTCTTATGATGATCGCTGCGGCGTTTTTGGTCCTGCTCAGGCCGTACAGCATTCAATGTGTGCTGCTTCTGCTGCTGCTTCTGCTCGGGACCATTGCGACAATCTTATTTTTCTGCTGCTTGCATCGCAGGCTGCGTAATGGAAAGCACCCAATAAAATCTGCGCTCTCCGGACGCTCCAGGAGCCGGGGTGAGTATCAGGCCAGCAGCATCCTCTCATCCTCATCCTGCCAGTCTATGTCATATTTGACCGGTGTTGTTATATACCGTCCGTATTTGTTGTAAGCATCCCCTAAATCCCTGCCATCTGACATCCATCATTCATCAAACTCCCATGATGCGCGTAAAGAGAATAAGGCTTCTATTTCAAATCCTTTTGTAAATAGCGCAAATGCTTTGATGTATTGTGATTTTGTTGGTGGTAAATGTTAGATCACAATATTTTATTCTCTCATTTGTTCTGTAGTTGGCCTGAGGACGCACCATTTTCGTTCAGAGGTACGTAAGAACTTTTTACGTGATGACCGTAAATCATTTTCACTTTAATCCGAAGGAATGTGCTGAATATCAAATGCAAAGCATACAATAGAGGCTAAAAAACATTTCTAAGACATGTGTGTATCGCGAAATGCCTCGCTTAACATCCTATTCTTTGGACTTTTATTGACGTTGCACGACTATTTTTAGGGACCATGATGTGCGCAGTGCGCATGTCCGCAATCAAGACAGGAGGTGAGGTTGCAGTTTCATTTATGTTGGACTGTGGGTCTTGAAATCCCGATTCTCTGCAACATGATGTAATTACTGTGAGACACTCATGCCTCACGACTATGAGCCATGATTCTCATGTTTTCTTAATCCAACTGCGTAAAGAGGAGAATTATTTTAACTTCCGTTTTCTTGTTTTCAAAATAAAACAGTTTAAAAGGGTTTTTAATCTAGTATTTAATTACCATTAGTTAACCTAAAGATTTTTAAGAAAGAAAGAAAGAAAATGAGAGAGAGAGAGAGAGAGAGAGAGAGACCTGGCCAAAGCAGGCAGCAGAGTAAAAACAGAATTATGAAATTGCAAAGTGAAAACAAAATCAGTACAAGTAGATGCACATTATGAAATGGTACATGCAATGCAGTAAGTTTAGTTTGGATATTTTTTCTTAAAAAAATACGCAGTGAATTAATATATTTTATGCAAAAGCTGTGTTTTTGTTTTGAAGTTGCAGTCTATTGTTTTTACTTACAGTGTACCATTATCTACACAAAACTCAACATTTCCAGGCTGTTCTATGATTCACTTACCTCTTTACTTGATCAATGTATTGCAAATATCCAATCCAATACTTAACTGACCAGAATTACACAAATAGAAATATCAACATGTTTCTTTTGCAAATAAACTCTCTTCCGCAGAACGTCTCATACGGTCGGTTCTTGTGTGTTAAGATTGCATTAGCATTTAATTCTCAAGAGCATATTTGTTTACCTTCATCTCTTTTAAATCTCTCTGGTGCTGAAATTTCAAAAGAAAAAGCTCCAAGGTGATGTTATTGAATCACGAGACATTGAATCCTCACAGAAAGAGTGCTGTGTAGCTGTTGGGTGTTCAGTATCAGGTTCAAGGACACAACAGCAAAACAGTCTCCTTCAATATTATCTTCCAACACATTAGATCCAACAATAAATAGGTGTTCAATGAGGGTAAAATAACTAGAGGAGATAAGTGTTGGAGTTTTTCATTGAAATATGGCTCCCTTTCCGCCCTTGTTGCTGCATGATCTTCCTCCAGCACTTCTCACTCTGTAAACTAGGTCATGTTACAGTGCTCCTGCTGTGAAGCCTGAAGCTCACTATTAGCATATTATGATGAAATCCTTTGCTTTATTCTACTAAGACCGCTGAAATTCAAATCTGCTGCCTGCTTGACGTTTATTAATGTTTTCCCAGGGCTTCAGGCACAGTCCACGTCATGCAAGGAGGAGCGTACATGCTCGGGTGACAGAGGAAAAACAAAATCCTATTGATGTTCCTGTGAGCGAACCAGAAGCATCATCCACTCTAAGAAAACGCAAAGTGAAGAAGAGAGTGCTGCCAGAATTTTACCAGTCTGTACAAGTCACCCCCACACGCAAACCTGTAGGTACCCTCCTTCACTCTCACCATGATTAATGCTAATGATCTAGTGATACTGCATTTTGATTCTTGCGCTCCACAGGGATTGGAACATGCTATAGGCAGAGCAGGTGACAGTTTACATATGAAAAGCTGGAACAACTTTATGCTGTTTTTGTCGATGTCTTCAGATTGTGTCAGTCATGTACTCGTCATTTGGCAGTTTATTACAAATGTTGTAACATAGGATTTGACAAAAGATCCACACCCTTTCAGTCTCTTATACTATACAACGTCATATTCTGTGAAATTATTCAAATGGTTTGGTTTAAAGGGCTTGTCATAACACCTGCTGGGTGACATGTGGATTAACAGTTTGGCAGTTTAATTCAGGATTTATTGCTATATGTTAACTGGTGTCTAACTGCCTTAAAGTTACAGTTTTACTATTAGTGTAAGAATATTATGATGATAATGATGATGATGATGATGATGATGATGATGATGATGATTATGTAGTTCCTTGGAACACTTAAAGATAAGGTTGTTGAATGAGGGGGTCCATTTCAATGTACAGTCTTATTCATCTCACTCATCATACTCTTAATAACTTGAACTTTAGTTTGACATTTGACATATGTTTAGGTCTGCAGGTTTTCATGTGTTTAAATATCTTCAAATCTCCTGCTCTACCTCCATTGTGAAGTTTAAACTGTGCTTTATTCAAACTGTGTGACTTGAAATACTGAGCTGTAGCTGTTGTTGTTGAGCTCCCTCTGCTGCCTTAACCTGGGAATATTGTGATGAGTCATTACTGTATCAAGACTTTTGTCCTTGCTGCAAACATCTTTCTGTTTCATGTCCAGTGCAATTGTGACACTTGACTTGAAGCTGATGTTCTAACTGACTGTGTTCAAAAAACATATTGATCTGTGTGTGGAACTTTTGCAATGTCATGGTGCTGCAGTGCTTCCGATAAACCTGCTGTTCTCATTCCAAAAAGCTCACATCTAAAGTAAATATTAACATCTGAATTTGAATACTTGAACACTGGCTGTCTTGCTATTATATTAGTGTTAGCATATTTCTAACTGGGTAAATGATGTGGCATAGCAGCATCTTATCCCCATACAGAGTTTGTATACATTTTGAGGAACCTTTGATGAATTCATATTTTTACACAGAAAGGAAAAGAATGAAAATAAAAAGCCATTTTGAGATTGTATTAGTACAAGAGTCTCACAGAAAAAGAAAAAAAAGCTAAACTATTAGAAACCATTATCTCCTTGGTTATACAAAAACAAAAGAGCTGCTCAAACAAAGAAAGCAGTTAGAAATCTTTCATGAATTATTATTTTATAAATAAAAAATGCTTACTACAGTCCAACAAAACATTATAATAAAGTAAACAAGGTGTGACTTGAACCCCACCCCTGTGCTTCTGGATCATCTTCTGTTTACTAGGATTTGTTCAGTTACTCAACTGCAGGTGTGACAGGAGAAACCTGGCATTTATCCCTGTATTTGAATGATTAAGAAAGGCCATGAGAATACTTGGAATTTGATATCTTTACAGAATCAACATGACAGACAAAAACAACACTGGAACATCTCAGCGGTACTGTAAACTGGTGGTAAAATCACTCTTTGGTACTGTTTTTCCCATAGGCTGAAACTGGGACATATTTATGGAAATATCATCTGTTCATCTTCAACAGCTTATTCCTTTTAAAAGGAACTATAAACCATCCCCAGTGACCACAGGAGGGTGGGGTACATCCTAGTCAGTTGTTGCCTGTAACAGACTTGGGTTTGTTTTCAATTATGATGCACTACAGATCAATGTTTTTGTTGAAGATGGAAAACGTTCTAAACTAAAGAAGAAAACATTAGTGCCATTGTACATTTTACGACCTGGCATTAGACCTATAATGGAGGTTAAACTGTAGTATTTATAATTATTGATAACCCTGTTGTACTCTAAAGGTAGAGTTGGTTATTTAGCACTGATCTACCTTTAACACACATGCGAGGGCTTTGTATGATTATTTTAATTTAAAAAAAAATACCCGTGATGTATTTCCTTGGTACGTATTATAGGCTGTTCACGTGCTTTCCATGTACCTGTAATCATTAAACCCGCTGACTGCCAGTCATCTAAGCCCACACGGTAGCGTGGATCTTAATAATGCATGCGTGTGCATGTGCAGTCTTGCCATTACGACCCCAGTGTGGGGGGTATTTATCGGTATTTGCAGCCACCCAACACCTTTGTGCGGGGATGGCGCTCTAACACCGCCGTTTCCGTTGGAGCTGCTGTTGTTTGGCTGCCGGCTGTGACGCGCAGACACTTGCAGTCTGCTCTCCCATCACAGTGCTGCTCTGCCTCGCCCGAACACAGCGCACCATCCCGTCAGTCCTCTGGAGATCTGACATCACGTCGCATCCTCGATGCTATAATCAAGGACGAACTCCTGTCCAGAGCAGCGTTTAAAGGGCGTGGCCCTGTGGGAATATTGACACACGGAATATGTGCTAATACCGCACAGAAAGGATTGTTGTTTTTTTCATCCAGCTGACAGCTTCTCATGTACACAGTGGTAAGTCTTATTGTTGACCTGGCGGGGGAGCCATATACTATCGATTTCACATTGGTTTCGTTTAAGCCGAATCTTTTATTGTTACTGTAGTCTGGGAGCTGGTGGCTCATGTCACGGAGTGTCCTCATCCGTCATGTGGTCACATTACGCACTTTGACCCGCGATGGTGAAAAATTCACCAGTTACTCCCTGTGTTCTCTTCTTATTTTGGCTGGAGGTAGAGCCCTGACAGCGATTCTCTGTGTTGTTTACCAACCGCTTTCTTTTGTCTCACAGAGCACCAGCTCGGGGAACCCTTCCCTGCACTGCTCCATGTCTTCCTCGGCTGATTTCTCAGACGAGGATGATTACAGCCTTAAATCCGGCTCGGCATCACCGGCTCCCGGGGACACTTTGCCCTGGAACCTGCCCAGACATGAGCGATCCAAGAGGAAAATCCAGGGAGGATCCATCCTGGATCCCGCGGAGAGAGCAGTGTTGAGGATCGCAGGTGAGCAGCTGCCTCCTTGTGTCAGATTATATGTTGAAGTGTGTGGACCTTATCTTCCAAATATTAGGAAATACAAATACTGGGCTTTGATGATTCATCACATGATGACATAAAAGTACTTCTTTTTATTTGTTTCCCAATATGATGTCTGAAAAATAACCAAATAAGAAAACCACAAGATATGAATTTTCTATGAATTTTTATATATATATTTATTTTCACTTATTTTTAAATGAATTTTAGAGCTGTTCCCTTTCATTTTCATATTGAATGTTCACTCCTGAAGGAACTTAAAGGCCAAAATAAACCTTTTATTTTATAATGTAAGAGTTTTTATTCATATATTCCACAAAGTTGGTAGTTAGATTGTCAGAACGTATTTGATAAAACATTAATGATAAAACATTTTAAGTTTATATTAGATAAAATTAGCAATGTTGCTAACGTTATTATTATTAATAATACAAAATAACAATTTGACTCTAATATTGAACTCCTATTTTCTTTTTAACAACCTCCTATTGTCCACCTGCAGTACCTTCAAGAACCACTATGGGGGCTGCTTCTCATACTTTTATAGTCAGTGCTTAACACATAGAGCCTTTTGTTACTAATCACTTAATTACAAGCCTTTGATCAGCACGTAATGATGTCAATAATCTAACATCAATTTAGGTTGATTTATGGTGATGTCAGTAGACAGTGAATCCAAACTGTTGCTGTAAGTAAATTCAAATTTGTGTCTCAGGTGGATGATGATGAAACAAAACATTTTATTTACTTGGATCCACCAAAGTGACCATATGTGTGAATGTGAGTGTGTATGGTTGTCTCAATATGTGGCCCTGGGATGGACAGGTGACCGGCCCAGTGTTTATTGCCAATGTCTGATACATACAGATATTTGCAGAAGTGACAACAGTGACCACCTACTGAGTTTGTACTAACTTGGTCTCAGCCTGTTGCAGCTCAGACGACCTAGAGTTAAAAACAAATATTGTGGTGTTTTTTTTTCTTTATTAAATACCAGTGTTTACTTTTATGGGTCTGTTATTGTAAGACATATATCCACAAATATTTACTCCCCAGTTAATTTGTTGTCATATTCTAATACTTAGAATGTTCAAATATGCAATGTTTCAACTTTATTTTCAACGGAAGTGACGTTACTGGCCAGCCTCACTTGCCACTTACTGCACATAGCATCAAGATAATTGGGATGCGTTATGCCAGGAAAAACAGAGAACGCTGTCATTGTGCATGTTGAACTATGGCGCCCCCTGATGTAGAGTCAGTAAATTTCGAAAATGACTAAATAAACCTGCCTTTGCTGAGGGCTATTTCTCATAATTAAAAAAATCTGGTGAAGTTATTAACGTTCATATTTTGGTTTAAGGTTGACGAGACAAGAACACTGATAAAAATATCTCAATTACTGAGGAAATGAAAGAAAGTGAAAAACAAACAACCACTTGCCTTATTATTTATACACACACACACATATATATATATATAAACCATTTTACTAAATTATAATAAAATCACGTTACATAAAGGCTGCAAAACGAGTGAGCATATTGTGTTCAGGACAGGAAATAATGTTATCGTTCCATGTCCACACCCAGTGAGGTTTTTGGGGTTAAGGGACGTTTTTTGCAGCGGAGCGCGTCTTCGACTTTTAATCTCGAGAGCGCAAGAGAGGAAAGGGTCTCCCATTGGACAGACCGCAGGCAAGGGAGGGCTGTAGGGCGTTTCCTTTCGTGTAACAACATCGCCGATCACTCATACACACACACACACGCACACACACACGCACGTACACACACATGCTGTGTCCCTGTACGTCTCTGGTGAGCGTCCAGTTTGTGGAGTTCGGGTTATGGCTCAGTACGCACCGCCACCACAGGGTTATGTGCTGTCAGACGAACAAGAATTCCTTCAAGCGTACGAAGATGTTTTGGAAAAATACAAAGGTAGGATCGACGCCGTTTTTGAGAGCGTTCAGTCTCTGGAACGTTAGAGAAATTCCCTGATTGCTGTTTGACAGCTCGGTGGACGTGAGCCTGCTCCCCCTCCTCAGTCTACATATCTCTCTCTCTCTCTCTCTCTGTGTGTGTATGTCTGGTGACTGCTCTTTATCCCCGTGCATTGAAAGTGGAGATATTTCCTCTAGATCTTTATCCTTTATTGTTATTCGTATTTGTTTGGAATCAATGATATTAATTGAAACCTTCTGTTTCAAGCAGCTGATTGGTTCGTCCCTTCATCAGCTGTTCTGTGTAAAATATTGACCTCAGTAAATACCATTTAATCAAGCTTTCTGATTACAATGTAAAATAAGCCTTTTCTGGTGTAACCAAGTTAATTTGTACATTTGATGGAGTTATCATTGTCCACTAGGTGTTGCTTCTGTGATCCAGACCTTTGCTCACATTTGTAGCCCCTGTCTCCTTTAGCAATGTAGCTGTAATTAAAATAAATCTTAAGTAAATGAAGACCCATTATATGCTGCTGTTACCCTTCAACTGATGCTCAATGCAAAAAGCACTGATAGCCGATGGTGGCCTACAGGACCACATTAAAATGATAGAAAACCCATGGATTAATCTGACTCTTAATAATATTAATAGAATATAAATTAGAAGAGGATGTTGTTATTGTTAAGTGGTGTGCATATCATGCACAGTTTGTCCCAAAGAAAGTAGATATGAAATTCAAGGAATGAACAAATAATTCATTTGGAAATAGTGGTTTTAAAGGCAGGAGAGCCTGAACTATTCTACTACTGTAACAATCAAAACATTTTTTTATAAACGAAAAATCAGAAAACTCCAATTTCCAATAAATATAAACAGTATTACATATCATGTGTTTCTACTCAGAATTTAAAACTATTAAATTACAAACAGACGGTAATATCCTTGCTGGTGAACCCCAGCCCATAACATGGTGCTATGGTCCATCAAATATTACCAAGGATCATTATTTATTTATTTAGAAATCAGTCGTATAGTCCACGTCTGAACTCCTGTATCCCCCAGGGACCCAGCCCACAGCCCAGAGAGCAGACAGTGCTGTCCAGTATATTGTGGACTATTGTGCTAAATGCTCGCCACCAGTATGTTCTTTCAGCTGTTGCAGCATCATAGCCAGCAGGGACAGTCAGCTGTGTAAAGGCTTATTGAAGCGAACGCTAACACGATCACATGATGAAGCATCACTTCTAATTCTGAAGCTGCTGTTTGTAGACAGCGATGTGACTCACAGCTACTTCACTTAGCTAATTAGCTTCTTTCGTAGTGCGTATGTATATGTTTTTCCAGTTCGTACTCTATATTGATTTTTTTCAGCTAATGACCTTACCTTTAGGAATGAATTGGTCAAAGAAGGGTAAGGTACAGTATTGATGATTTCTTAAAATTTTATGAAGGACTTTAGTTTTCATTCTTTGTTAATCATGCACTGCTGAGGTTAGCTGAGCTAATCATTATATAAAGCAATTCTCAACTTCAACTTTAACTAACATCTGAGGAAATGGAAAAAAAAATTACTTCTTTGAAAAGAGTGTGTCCATAGTTATTCACCAGGTGTCAGTTTTCACAGTACCTGATAATTGAAGATGACTGCTGACAAGATAACAAGTTACTCGACTAAGCATTTGATGAAAGCTACAGAAAGTTAATTTAAAGACTATCAGATAAGAAAGAGAAATTCATGTCCACTCTTCGAACATTCTTTAATACAGATGCTATTGTATTTGTTGACTTGAAACTCTTGATAATGTTATGGAAAAAAACCTTTGTGTTTGCAGTGGAAAACCCAGCATCTTAGTTGTTGATTTAGTTTTGTAAACAGATGATAAGATCAGGCAGAGCCCAACACTGCTCATCATGTGATGGTTCGTTTATCAAAGAGACACGTTTTCCTGGAGAAATCATCAACAGTAACCAAAGCAACCTAAACAAACAGGGCAGAACACAGTACAGAGGGCAGGTCGGCCATGAAGCTGAAACAGTTTTTTATTTTATGCAGGTGATTCATCATTCACTGAAACCATTGTTTTTTAACAGTGGGCAGAGGAAGTCATGTTTGTTTTTGTCTGGATTTGTTGCAGAAGTAATGTTAGAATTTCAGCATTTCATGATCAGAAATTGTGCATAGACTGCAGCTTAATACCAAGCGCGATAGGTGGTGCAGCGTTAGCTGTGACGTGCACCCGTTCATCTTGAGCCAGACTGTATGTAAATTTACTTTAATAAGATTTTGTGAGTAATCTGAGTTGTTGATGTGACAAAACACATCGGACTTGAGGATCTCAGTTCACCGTCCCCATGAATGCCTCACTGATTATATATTTGGGTTAATAATACACTTTAAAATCGTTTGACTGAAATTCAATGCAAGGCTTTACAAAGACGACAAACTCTAGGAATGAGTTAAAGACATGGTGTGTTAGACACTTAAATACAGTGGGTAGCGGCTGCACAGGGTCACGCTGTTCTGGCAGAGCCTGCTTGGTAGGTCAGCGGACTTATGGGAACAGTCAAGTCTCTGAAACATTTGGTTTTTCAGAGACATTTCATCATCAAGCAAAACCAGGATTGTTATTTTGAAAATGGAATGTTATGTTTAAAATTGATAAATTACAGTAAGAGCATGGATGCACAATATATTAGTCATTTTGAACTATTTGTGTCTTGAATTGCTGACTTTGTGTTTAGACACAAATAATTGTTTGTGATCAACGATTTATTATTGGATTAATTGCGATTTCCTAGATTGAGTAATTTTTTTTCTTGTATAGAAAATAGAGCACAAAGGAAAAAAACTGATTTAAGACAGCTCTAGGTTGATTGTTCCACATTCTATTCCTTAAGGGACATCATTAAAAAGCCACGTACACATGCAGCTCCCTGTAGTTGTGTATCACTGTAAGGGTGTGGCATTGTCCCAGTTATATTAGTCTGTAAATCAGTGCTGTCCATCTTATGATTTAATTA